CGAAAACGAGTTGCACGTTACACATACTATTTTCTATCACAAGTGCGAGTCGTTATGGGACCTATAGCATAGGGGGTTAGGTGCACGGAAAGTGCTATATAGTACAACAGCGTGATGTTATTTTCATAGCGCAACGCTGGAGTTTTTTTGAAAAACAAGTGAAAAAGAAAACCAAATTAGTGAAAATCAGAAAAAATAAAAATATAATATAATCAAAATACCAAACAAAAATTTGTTTTTGGATGCCATGTATCTCAAGAATCCAGCCGTTGCAGACGGTTTATTTCACTAAACATCAACCAACTATTATAAGAAAATCCACAACGTTTTTGCAAAATAAAAAAAGGGGCTAAAAAACATAAAACATTCCATATCTCCGCAACCGTTACTTTGCGGACCCATGTTTATTGCGACTTTTGTGTTTATTTTGGTTCATACTATTANAAACAAATACGACCAAAAGAAATTGATTTAAAATATTTTCAAGTTTGTAACTTCACCGATAGGGGGCGCAACTACTTTAGTGTTACTAGAGTCCCTAGAATAACAGAGTCTGGCCAGTCAACCGGTTTGCCCTTCAAAATGGCGGCCGCTTGGCCGCTATACGCAGGCGCGAGCTTTAACAGCTGTTTACAGTTGTAACGGCTGTGAAATCAGTGAAATTTGTTGCCGTAGTTGCCCCATTTATGTTTTTCCCTAATTAATTTTCTGATTTCTGTTATAATTTTCAAATTTTATTGTTTTAATACCTCCCAGTGAAATACATTTGTATTTCATTGAGAGGTACATTCTATAAATTACAATTACAACAATATAACTATGAATTACAATAATACTTGCTCATTTACTTTGCTCATTGATTGTTTTCTTTTCTTATATTCTATTACAATGTCTAATTATATTTATTCTTTCAATTATTCGCATTATTTCCCTGTAAAAAAGTAATGGATATGCATCTATTGATTTTAATTCAATATTATAAATCACCAATTTACCCTTATTTATTCCAATTAATTTTTATTGTTGATTTTTATGAAAATAATAAAAGTTTAATCAATTTATTTTGAATCGTATAAAAATATTTATTGTATAATTTTATTTATCATTATGAAATAGGTATTACATATTTTGAAACTCAATTGTAAAATAAATGTATTGCATACATTGAGTTTTTTTATTCTTAAAAACTTATCCACTAAAAATCCGAAAAAAAAATTCCACTTGATTCGTTTTTGTATTCTGATTTTGTATATCCTACGTATAAAATTGCAATATATCATTCATTACATTGAATTTATCGCTTACTTGCTTATTTACACTAATAAACGTTATTAAACACTTGAGCATGAACGATCAAATTTGAAAGTTGACGTTTCCCGCTGTGCTCTGGGATTGGTTCCGCCATTAATGAGGGCACTTTACCAACGACCAATCCGCGCTCGCGACAGCCGTGGCCAGACTGTTATTCTAGGGACTCTCTAGGGTTTGACAGTGTATCTAAAAAGTGTATTTTCAACTTAGGTTATATAAGCGAAATTTCGAAAAACCAACAATTTTCTGTAACACTATAGCAGTTGCGTCCCCTAGCGGTGAAGTTACAAACTTGAAAATATTTTAAATCAATTTCTTTTGGTCGTATTTGTTAATAGATTTTTTACTCCATAATCGTAGCAAGTCTAGTTTTCTATATACAGCCGCTCGATACCGTTAATGGATCACCCTGGAATTTAGTTGGGTATGTCAGTCAATTTAATAAAGAAGACTCTTTATTCAGTTCAAACTTTTGAGCACTTTATTGTCCCTTTGAAAGCTTGAACTGAATAAAGAGCCTTCTTTGTTAAATTGACTGACATACCCGACTAAATTCCAAAATTCTTTAGACAGTCGTCTAATAGTCTACTCTTATATATTTATATATATATATAGGGACGGCCAGAAGTACGGAATAAAATTCATCTCTTGAATGAGTTAATTTTTTTTTAAACGCCGAAACTGGGTAACTGATTTTGATTTTTTCCCATCTTTCGGTTATATAATAATTAATTTTTCTTCAACCCCCTAACTCCCAGCTACCCCTACTTTTTTTTTCAAATGGAAACATAAGGCATGAGGGGGCTCGTTGAAAAACTTATAGAAAACTGAATCCAGCCATACCAAAGAAACAAGTTTTATTTTTTCAATAGCAAGGTTTTTAGGGTTGTATAAAACACCTACTTAACAAGTGAAATAAAATTTAATTATCTTCAGTGTTATCCTCCATGAATTTGCACAGAATAAAATAAAGAATTTGAAACTGTACCTATTACTGCTAACGCAAAAAAGAAATATTTTTTTATGTTGCGTTTTTTTGATACCACTTACTTGCCAGGCTTTCTGGTTAATTTTTCGCATTAGTTGTAAATTGGAGTTTGAAACGTTACTATTGTGTCAAAATCAAGTTATTTACTGAATTGAAATGGTATTGTCGGAAAGGCAACACATTGAAACCTGATATTGCTTGGATGTGGAGACAAAATAAGAAGTCAGGCTGAAGTGCGGATTTATTTAATGCGAAATATCCCGAAAACCAAATCTCGTAAGGGACAGTTAGTAAAATATTTCACAAATTTAAGGAACACCGTACAGTACAGACTTTGCCCAAAACTGGACGGGCACGTGCTTTGAATGGAGAAAAGAAATTAGTGATTAATTAATAATTAATTAATCACTAAATTAGTAATTAATTTTGTGAAGAAATGATGAGACAGTGTGACGACAATAATGGTTTCAACGAGACGTACTTTTTTCGGATGAAGCTACGTTTTATTTAAATGGAGTGGTTAACAGGCACAACTATCGCTTTTGGTCCCAGGAAAATCCACACTGGACATGCGAATCGCATACGCAGCATCCACAGAAAGTTAATGTATGGGCAGGTATCATCAACAACATAATCTTGGGCCCATTCTTTTTTGAAGAAAATCTTACTGCCGCACGCTACCTGGATTTCCTAACATTTGACCTGATACCTGCTCTAGCTGTGATTTTCCCTCATGAAATTGATCCAGATATACCGAATGAAAGAATATGGTTCCAACAAGATGGCGCTCCCCACATTTTGGTATTGATGTTCGAAGATACTTAGATGAAATGTTTCCAAATCGTTGGATTGGTAGATGGGGTACAGTTGAATGGCCGCCAAGATCCCCCGACTTAACACCCCTGGATTATTTTCTTTGGGGATATTTGAAAGAAAGAGTCTACCAGGACAGACCGGATAATATTGAGAATTTAAAGAACAAGATTAGGGTGGAGATGCCTAATTTACCAGCTGAAGTCATTCAGAATGCTGTGGACAGCTTTTACTATCGTCTTGGAGAATGCCAAATAGTAAATGGAGGACATTTTCAGCATTTGCGACATTGAGTTTATTTTTGGAAATTATCTAGTTGTTTCAATTTCTAAATGAAAAAAAAACTTGCTATTGAAAAAATAAAACTTGTTTATTTGGTATGGCTGGATTCAGTTTTCTATAAGCTTTTTAACGAGCCCCCTCATGACTTATGTTTCTATTTGAAAAAAAAAAGTAGGGGTAGCTGGGGGTTAGGGGGTTGAAGAAAAATTAATTATTATATAACCAAAAAATGGGAAAAAATCAAAATCAGTTAACATGTTTCGGCGTTTTAAAAAAAATTAACTCATTCAAAAGATATGAATTTTATTCCATCCCTGTATATATATTGTATATATACAGGGTGTTCCTAAATAAGTGTCGCAACGGAAAACTGTAAATTCCTCTTGAAAAAAGAAACATTATTTTCCTCTTCCGTTTTTCTCTCCGGGCTTTCGCTTTCGAGATACACGGTGTCAAAACTTTAATTTTTGTTTAGTTTTTCGCCAATATCTTGGGAATCGTTTGAACTACAGGACTGAGCTTTCATACACACATTACCACTATTAATAGCTACTTTTTCGCACCCTTCTCGAATTCATTGGACGTGCCTGTGGTGGAGATTTTAAGGTATCGTAGGGGTTTTTCTCCCCCTAAATTTTACGCCACTGGAAAAATTGACTTTTGACAGCAAATTCTATAGCGCCAATGAATTTTACACAATAAGAGTTCTCTTGGTTCATTGCTCTAAAGTCAACCGTTTTCAAGAAAAATGACTATGAACAAAAGCAAACATTTTGCTAACGTTTTGAAAATCTTTTCTAATTCAAAAAATAGGTAGTAATAATTAACAATTTTAACGAAATTTAACAACAGATAGGATTTTAACTTTTTTTATCAATTTGGCGAGTAAAATTTACAGAAACTGTTCAAAATTACGTCCGTTGGCTTGAATGCACGCATTACATCTTCTAATCATGTTTCTTTCTGCCGCTGCGGTTTCACCTCTATCGGTCAACTTTTCGATAGTATTGACATGGATTTCATAAACGATGCATTTCGTTCTCCGGATGTTCTGTTCAGTTACTTGCACTTGCAAAATGTTCAAAATGCAAAATGCAAAATGTAAAAAATTTTCGAAACGTTAGCAAAATGTTTGCTTTTGTTCATAAAAAGTCATTTTTCTTGAAAACGGTTGACATTAGAGCAATGAACCAAGAGAACTCTTATTGTGTAAAATTCATTGGCGCTTTAGAATTTGCTGTCAAAAGTCAATTTTTCCAGTGGCGTAAAATTTAGGGGGGAAAAACCCTTACGATACCTTAAAACCTCCACCACTGGCACGTCCAATGAATTCGAGAAGGGTGCGAAAAAGTAGCTACTAATAGTGCTAATGTGTGTACAAAAGCTCAGCCCTGTTGTTCAAACGATTCCTAAGATATTGGCGAAAAACTAAAAAAAAATTAAAGTTTTGACACCGTGTGTCTCGAAAACGAAAGCCCGGAGAGAAAAATGAAAAAGGAAAAAAATGTTTCTTTTTTCAAGAGGAATTTACAGTTTTCCGTTGCGACACTTATTTAGGAACACTCTGTATGTAGTTAGGTAATAGTTATTGAAATTTGGTTTTGTAGTGTCTGCTCTCGACTGATGCTCCATTTTTTCCTGGTGCAAAAACAACATGGACTCAAACTTTACAATTTATAGAAAAAAACACTTATCAACCCATACCTGTATACAGAGTTATGGATCGCCAAGGAAACATAATAAGTAAAGATGAGGACCCGAAACTATCAGACAAAGTTATTATAAAAATGTACAAAGAAATGACTTTATTAAATGTTCTGGACAAAATATTGTATGAATCTCAGAGGCAAGGAAGAATATCATTTTATATGACAAATTACGGAGAAGAGGCTACACACATAGGAAGTGCAGCTGCATTAAATAATAATGATATAGTATACGGCCAATACAGAGAAGCTGGAGTACTTTTGTGGAGGGGTTTCACTTTACAGGAATTAATTGACCAATGTTATGGAAATAAAGACGATACTGGTAAAGGAAAGCAAATGCCTATCCACTATGGCAGTAAAAAACTAAATTTTGTAACAATTTCAAGTCCACTTGGCACACAAATACCGCAAGCAGTAGGTTCAGCCTTCGCCTTGAAAGGAATGCACAAAGTTGTCATATGTTATTTTGGTGATGGTGCAGCTTCTGAAGGAGATGCCCATGCAGCTTTTAACTTTGCTGCCACTTTAGAATGCCCCACAATTTTTTTCTGTAGGAATAATGGATATGCTATATCAACTCCAGTAGACGAACAATACAGGGGTGATGGAATAGCTGCAAGAGGACCGTCTTACGGAATGCATACACTCAGAGTTGATGGAAATGATGTTTTTGCGGTATATAACGCAACTAAAAAAGCAAAGGAATATGCAGTTAATGAAAATAAACCTGTACTTATAGAAGCCCTGACTTATAGGTAATTTATTTAGTAAATATATACACCATATCACATGACCGGCTATTATAGTAACTAAGGTACTTATATGGATAACAATGCACTAAGGTCGACAGAATACTTCGGCATTGTTATTCTCTAACACCTCTGATGGCTTCAACGTTTAATGTCCTACTAGTCTATAATTTAACATGAAAATTTTGTTACATATAGCTGATGTTACATTTGACTTATAATTTCTACTATTGAATTGAGGGAGAGCATTTTTTATTTGTCCTAGAACATTAAAGATATTCATAATGCCCTAAAGTGTAATTTCTTAATTAATGTATCTTAAAACAGTATAATTATAACAAAATAACATAATATAACATTAAAATATTTCAAAGACTACCTATACTGTGACTTAAGTCGTAAATATTTGAACTTAGAGGTTTTCAGCATACTATCTTAAAAAAATAAAATAATGATGCCTTTGTAACAATTCCGATTATACCAAAGTGTGATATCAACTTTGATATTTTAAATAAAATACCATGTTATTTTTATTGAATTTTTTAATTTTATATATTTTTTTAAGACAAGATATAATTATTATGTCAAAAGTGAGCAACTGAAGAACTTTAACCATTTTTGAATAATAGGCAGTATAGCATTGAACTTGTTTTGTTAATTGTCCATTATTTCTATACAAGTTCATTTCACTTTATTTTTGATTTTTAAGTTAAAATTTTAGAATGTATAAGCATTTTGTGATAATTGAATAGTCATTTATGTTTAAATTTCACAATGCTATTATTTGTGGTAGGTAGGATTTACCTACTGATTTCTAAAATCATAAATTTAATTTGTATATAGCATTAAATTTTAAATTACTTTTGCTATCAATAAAATACACTGACAATTATTATTACATTCATAGAATAATATGGTTGACCTACAATGTGATTCGTAGACCGGCACTATGGCAAAATGTAATAAAAATATTAACGTACTTAAGAAATAAATAAAATTTTATAACACCTATTTTATATCAGCAAATTCAACTGCTTTTGCCGCTATTGTTACTATTAATTAATAAAAGGAATTTGTGGTTTGAATTAATAAAATAATGTGACATACCTGATGTTACAACTTTTCAAAATTTTGTCCACCGACGTGTAAACACATTTAGGCCCATCGTACTCAGTTTCTACGAACTAACACAAATGTTGACTTGATTCACCACAACACAAATATTTCACCATAACAGAAATGTTGCCTAGCTTCACCATAACACAAATACTTCACTATAACACAAATGCTGTCTTGCTTCACCATAAATTAAAACAATATCCATCAACTCCGAGTTGCTATACATGTAAGCCATAATTGATACTTGGAATGGTAATGTGATAGCTACTAAAATGGGATTTCAGTACTCGGAATCGCCTGGGGCCACGTGGAGAAAGAGCGAATTGCGTACAGTACACAATGAGAATGACGCTACAGACTACAGTGGCCCAGCGATGTAAGGGTTTGAAATACTACAACTTCAATAATTTTTTCTCGGAAACTAAATATAAGGATTTTACAAAAAATTTTTGTACAGTATTAACTCCATTTTTCATGATGTATCAGTTCTCAAATAAGTTGTAACTCACCCTGTATAAACATGCCAAACCTCCCACTTTGGCCCACCCAAAAAGCTTCTCCATAATATCGGAAATATCACGACATGCAGTAATATAGTGAACCATCTGCGAATATCAGATCTTTCCCTCGGGGGCCTAATTTCAGAAGTCCAGTTAGGTGCTTGCCTTTTACAGTTGTTCAAAGATATGTGAGATTCAAATACAAATACAAAATACCTCACAATAATTAGTAGAATTTAAAAACAATAAAAAATATAGCATTTTATTCAAAATAAAAAGTTCTTGTCAACTTTTGGTATAACAAGAACTTCTGGTATAACTAGACTTTTTCAGAGAATTTTTAATTTCTTTAAGATATCTCTGTAATTTTTTGAAGTATTTCAATTAAACTTAGCATAGTTTATTGGAATTCATGAATTGGATTCATGAACACTTAAATACGCAGTACTACATTGCAGGTACATGCACATGAATATAAGTACCGAGTGAGACTGAATTAGCAACACTCACGCATAAGTCACTTGGGCGTTTATAAGCTTCAACTGCAATCGAATGTGTTAAAGTTTGAATTTTTTTTTCCAATTTCGCAGAAGGCTCTAATTCTCGTTGTCCACAAATGCATGGCATTTGTTACATACAGGGACATGCTTCGAAGGACGAATGTAGTAATTTTGACTAACAAGGTATTAAAGCTTTTCCAAAAATGTATTTTGCTGCATATTTAGTTTACAGGTTTGCGAAGTGGTAAAATGTTGACCATTAGGTAATTATTACTAAATAAAAATACAAAACATCAAATAATTTTCAAAATGAAAATAATTATTATTTAAGTAAGTAACTATGTTATCTAATGAAATCTGCTGTAGAGTCTGTCATCTCCCAATAAATTTTAGCCAAGTATTTTAATTATACCCTGCATGTATACAGCATGAGTTATAATTCGGTGTAAAAAATTTAACCAAAGTTTCTGATTAGAATGGGAATTAATAAAGACATTTTTTTATGATTCTCTTTTTAAGATACTTCAATGAAAATTGGCTTAGTAATAGCTAAACACTAAAAGTGATAGTCTAAAAAGAAGTCAATAGGAATATTTTTCTTTTGTCTTATCTTTTTTGCTTTATTCTTTTTTGTCAAAAAAATATACACTGCATCATATTGTTAAAATGCAAAATACATGAGAAAAATGAATTTTAAAATTCTACTGTAGTTGACAGTTGTGGAGAGTGGAGTATTTAGGAATATTCTTAGTTCTATATTAAATTTAGTAATAATTACCTAATGGTCAACATTTTACCACTTACTTCGGAAACCTGTAAACTAAATATGCAGCAAAATACATTTTTGGAAAAGCTTTAATACTTTGTTAGTCAAAATTACTACATCCGTCCTTCGAAGCATGTCCCTGTATGTAACAAATGCCATGCATTTGTGGACAACTAGAATTAGAGCCTTCTGCGAAATTGGAAAAAAAAAGTTCAAACTTTAACACATTCAATTGCAGTTGACGCTTATAAACGCCCAATTGACTTATGCGTGAGTGTTACTAAATGCATACTATTCAGTCTCACACGGTACTTTACATTCTGTGCATCGTAAAGTATTTTTGACACGTTTTACATAAATGTGACTTCGAGGTCTAGGTGGCATGAGGGTGAAATGCATCGACATTGAACATGTTAATATGCGATATCCAGAAAACGACGCGTTTTAAGACACGTTTTTCGTTTACTTGTGTTATGGAATCCACCAGTAAAATTTGGCCAAGTATTTTGGTTACACCCTGTATATTTTTTAGAAGCATATTTTATCGGATTTGTTAGTATTGTATCTTTTTTTTTAATTAGAGTTGGAGACCATTCAACATCTGACGATAGTTCAGCGTATAGGTCTCCTGAAGAAGTAACGTTATGGGCAACAAATGATTATCCTACAAATAAGCTGAGGTACTATATGGAAACTAAAGGAATATGGAATGAAGAATTAGAAGAAAGATGGTTACAACAAGCCAGAAAGGACATTCTAGCAGCATTTAATGCTGGCGAGAAAAAACTTAAGCCAAAATGGACTGAAATGTTTGAAGAAGTTTATAAATATATGCCAACAAATATAAAGTAAGTGTTAGTATTCATGTAATATTTTTCAATTTTCTGCCAAACTGACAAAATCAGTTACACATTGTGAATGTCTTCTATTCCAGTCTAGCATAGTATTGTGGGTCATGGAAGGCTTGCAAAAAATGTAATAAAATTTCCAGGGTCGTATTTAAAAAAATGAAGTTGATGATGGTCCTGGAGAGACGAAACGTTGCATATAAAAATTGATTATGCCATTTGATAGAGGGCAAAAATTGGCCATGAGAAAATGTTCTTCTTTTTTCAATATCACCACAAACAAGGCTTAAATGAAACAAAAACGGATTTCCAAAATTTCGGATTTTTTCAAATATTTCGAAAACTAATGTTCGCCTTGACTTTTTAGAGGCATAATGTTGGCCTCCTGATTACGCAACTTTGCCCCCCTTTAAGCTACTTCGTACCTCTTACCGTTTCCAAGATCCCTGTAGCGAATTTGTAACAGTCTGTATAGGCAGAGAGTATATTTTAGACACCGAAATAGAACCGTAACAAATTTTGCAATAAAATTCTAAAATATTTACCAAATCAAGAAAAGTAAGACGGTTAAACCAAGCTTAGTTGCTGAAGGTAAGGAGCTAAAATTTGTCCCTGAAAGTTACAAAATAATGTAAAAAGAAAACGTATAGGTACATAATAAAAAAGGAATGAAGCAGAAAATGACGCAAAATTGAAAATCCTAACTTAAATAAAAGGTAACCTAAGAATTACTACCTGTTTTGTCTAGGTAACATAGATAACACAATCCCTACAGCAGGACATTTTTGGAAATGAGGGTATGGGAATTAGAAGTTAACCCACTACTCATACTAGTACAACTCCATCCTCCTTAAAGAAGAGCAAAAATAATAAAAGAAACGCAACTAAAAAGAGGAATAGGAAGGACCATCTTCCAGAATTGAGTCTGCAGTTGCGAGATAATTTCAGCATGTGGATAAACAAATATGAGAAGCGATAAGAATGAGGAAGAAAACACGATCAAAAAACACATTTTTCACTTTTATATCTACATCCTCATAACATGCAAATATCCATAGATTTCAAATCAAAACAATAACATACAACAGAAAATTTCTCTTACCTGGAAATCTTCACATGAGAAAACAACTATACTTTAGAAGGGTTCGAGAAATCAACAGAGAAAAAGTCACTATGAATTCCATGAATTTCATTATAGTTCCATAATTAATCAAATAATCATCCAATCACACATTTGTGTCTGCCTTTTGTGTGAATGGCATCCATGTAGGCAATATAAATACTATATGCTTTGACCATTGTCCTTTTTTTAATTTGGACACCGTTATAGTTATAGTTCTAATGTTCATTTCCACCAACTCTTTTAGGGGTTTTTTAATATAAGAGAAAGAATAACTTATGCTGAGTGACCCTGTTGATTGTGTTAAAATTTCTAAGAATAAGGGCATCCACAAGAAACTATTGCAAGCGTCATTCATTTCCTACTTACAAATTTCAGTTCTTAGAAATTATTTCAGGACGTTACTCATTCCGTAGTTAAGCAAATCTTACTATTTGCCAAATCGAAAGTTGGTGAAATGGAAATATTTGACGTATCAAAAAGAACAAAATGAAGTCAGTATGTTGTATGAAGTGCAACCAACATAAAAATTTAAATAACTAGGTGGTTTCACAGGATTTAACGACACTTCAGAGACACACGGAGTGTACAATAATTCAATAAACATCTAAAAAAAATTAGATAAATTTGGAACGTATACATGAAGATGAATTTTTCGAGACAAAACGTTTGAATCTGGTTTGGGCTGAGGCAGTACAGTATTGGCGGTCATGAAGGCTTGCAAAAAATGTAATAAAAGTTCCAGGCTCATATTTAAAAAAGGAAGTTGATGATGGTCCTGGAGAGACGAAACGTTAACATATAAAAATTGTATAAATCATTCGAAATAGAGGAAAATAAGTTGCCATGAGAAAGTGTTCTTCTTTTTCAATATTACCTCAAACAAGGCTGAAATGAAACAAAAACGGAATTCCAAAATTTCGGTGTTTTTTAAATACTTCGAAAAATAATCATGTTACCCTTGATTTTTTAGAAGCCTGATTATGCAACTTTGCCCTCATTTAAGCTATTACGTATCTCTTACCTTTCCCGAGAGTCATTTAGCATTTCTTAAAGAATATCGGTCTCCTATGATAAGTTTGGGATGAATTTAGATAAGTACACGATCATGTCTAACAGAATCTTTGAACTTCCTTCTTTGTCTGTCTTCATATCCCTCACAACTTTTCTTTTTTCACTGTTAAAGGATTTTGTGTCCCAAAAATTTTACACTTGGAACACTGAATATCGACTTTTTTAATTCAATATTAATTATTGAGGCTTTGGTTATAATGTCGTAACTCCTTTCTAAATACTAAAAAAGTCATCGAAATAACAAATAACACCGCATACAACCCATCAAGATTTACATCTAGGAATTCATGCAATAGTGAATATCAAGAAATCCTTACATGTCAACATGCTGTTTAGCATCCAAAGGTTCTACAAATAATTCTTTAGTTGAAATACATACACTTGACATACCCATTTAAATTATATGAATCGATGTAAATGGGCACGTCTCTATTTGGCTTTGGAACTACCACGATAGGATGAATCCAGTCTGTAGACTCGTTGACAGGAGCAATAAGCTTATTTTAAATTGTTCCTTAACTATAAACTTCAAAGCAATGGGCAGTTTATTTGGAGGGCTAACAGTAGGAATAGCATTATTATTTGCTAAAATTATACTTGTATTATACTATCTATGGATCTGACATATTTCAGAAAAAAATCTTGTAATTATCTATAATGTCCTGACAATATGTAAAATACACCTAATACTGAGGGTGGTTTTCTTTCACCTGATAGGCATAATCTAATTCAACATGTCCTTGCAGATTTATGTCCTGAATGTAAAACGCACATGATGATGCTGCAAAAAGTTTTTCACTATTAATACCAAGTATATCAAAATCATATCATACAGTGTTATAGATACTTACCATCTATCATCCTTACCTCAGAGGAACTAGTTATAGTCTATATGATAAGATTAAGATCAACACTAGTTGAAACACCAGCATTATCATTAGGTACTTTGTTTAATAGTGTTGAAACTGTTGCTTCCTCCACAACTTCATGAATTATGGACCTGTCACAATGAAATTTTCTGTAGTGTCTTTTATAATTACTCACATTACACATGTGAAAGAAAGCTGGATATTTGATTATATAGTGTTAAGTCTACAGTTGCAACATGCATTTTCATTAGCATTGTTATTGATAGCACAATTATTCTTTCTAGTTATAATTCTTATATTCCTATAGAGTTTCTAACAGCTTGTTGATAGCTATGTCCTAAGTACTTCATTTAAAACTTCTTTATTAATTTATTTTTGAGTTGTCACACTATTTTCCATGGATCTCCAAATATTTATTACTTTGCTTAACTGTAAATCTAGGTTCTGTAATATTTTTTCTTGAATACTGAAGACCTTTAAAACCTATTACAATTCTGTTCCCCAGTAATTAATATCTTTTAAAGGACTTATAACATTCATACACCAAATTTTTCAAAGAATTAAGTAAACCGTCAAACTTGCTAAGAATTATATTGAACTTCATTTAATTTTATCCCAGACCATATTTCAATGGATTTGTATATTTAAATTCCACTTGATCCAATTCCATTTTAACCTCATCTGATTTCTTACTTTTCCCAGTGACCAGTGAATATCTATAGGTATAACCAATATCTATAATCACCAATTATCCACAATAATTCCTTTAAAAAAATCCTCTGAATGCACTTTGGCACGACTTTTGTAGTGTGATAACTCATTTATCAATACTTATTTTTATTCCAATTCCAAAATGCACTTTTACGACTATCACCATATGATGTTTTCTATTCCAGAGTAGCATCTATTAATCTGGTTTACGTAAAACTCTTTACCTACGACCACTACTGTAAATACTTGAAAATACACCGTCTGCGATCAATGTACGATTCCTATTACGTACGGTAAAAAAATCGCACAGCTTGGTAAAAAAATCGTACAGTTTTCCTAGCAACCGTGAATACAATACTGTTTGTATTGACCGTTGCTAGGAAAACTGTACGATTTTTTTTACTAAGCTGTGCGATTTTTTTACTGTACGTAATAGAAATCTGACATTGATCGCAGACGGTGTGTTTTTAAGTATTTAGAATAGTGGACGTAGGTAAAGTATAGTACGTAATACGTGGTGTAATGCAATTACGCACTAATAGAATGCTTTTTACAACATTTATTAAGTAATATATTATTGCATGTCTTACTGAAACAACAACCGTTCTGTTCTCCGGTCCGGGTTGTACACACAAATCATAATGTTTTGTGGTTAAATACCATGGACATATACATATATGACACATATTTGCAAAAAATTAGAAATGTTTATCAAGAAAATGTTGTTAAAACAAATACTTTTTTTACAGGAAACAACAATATGAAATGGTGGAACACGTTAAAAAATATAAAGAACATTACCCTGTTGAAAAATTTGAAACATAAATTAGAAAAATTATAATTTTATATTATTTTGTTAATTCAGAATTATGTTTTTAGAACTTATAATTAATGAATTGTGGGCAACAATTAAAATAAATATAGATCTTTTTTAATTTTTATTACTTTGTTTATTGAATTCAATACACATATGAGTTTTATTAATAGTTTTCAAAAACTTTTGACCTAGTTGGTCAGGAAAGGGGTCAAAAGGTCAAAAAACCGTAAAAAATAAGCTTTTTCGCAAATATCTCGTAAACTACGGCAAGTAGCAAAAAAATAATTGCACCATCGTGTTCCCAGGGAAATTTTACATCGATTTTATGCTATTGCTTATTAAAATTAAATAAATTTATGTCATGTTTTGGACAGTTACTAAGCAAGAGAGGGGAAGTGTATATCTCCGGCGGTGAAACGTATTTGGGGAGTAGT